AATTAAGGTGAGTAGATAGATAGAGAGAGGGAGAGAGAGACAGAGACAGAGAGACAGAGAAAGAGAGAGAAGTAATACGGCGCGCATTCAGAGAAAGGTGATTTCGAAAGCATAAATTCTTAAAGAATCGAAAATTGGCATTGCGTAATAAATATGTCAGACATGACATTTTGATTTCTTGCAAGTGAAATTAATCTCATGTAAACACAGATTTGTAAACCATGATTTGATAACTGTGTACTTTTATGTATGCGAGGTATTGTAAAATGAATGAATATTTAATATCATTAATATATACATACATATATATATATATGCATATATATATGTGTCATTATTATTATTGTTAATAGGCAAGCAAAAAGTGTGAGAAATAGAAATATCCCAATATGTATATTTAATATCTTCTACATCAAAAGTGTTATTTTCATAAATTCGTATTCCCTTACAGGCACACACAGGCTCCAACATATATGTAATCACACGCCTACACGCACGTGTTTGTGCATGTATATATGTTTGTTTTTACCCTGTAGTTACCATTGTGTAGCAAGGAAATTCCTACGCGTTAGCCCCAACCGCAAATTGTTTTGAATTCAGAAATCTATTTTCTTTTGTTTGATTGAGAACCAAAGCTAGACAATCTATTGAGCGATCATATTAAGCGTAGCAAAGTAGATAAATTTAGTTGGAATTGTACTTTTCTAATGGGATTTGTATGAAAAACTATCGCAAACACTTTATCTGAAATTTGAACCCGCTCCGCTGATCTCATTTTAATCGTGAAAAAATAGACTTTCATTGTCCATATATAAAATTCTGTGACTTCCGTTAATCTATTCGTCCGTCCGCCACACACTCTAAAATAGCCAGAGATTGACTGATCGAAACAAAATTTTGGGGAGAAGATATAAAAATAAGCGGGTACAAAATACTGTTGGTTTCATTAATTTGGGAGGATTATTTTAATTTAAAATACAAAATACTCCCACTATTTAAAAAAAAATAAACAGCAATACTAAATATAGTGCATATACCAGCGTTCATGTTTTTTTTAAAAATAGCATTATAAAATAACAACTGATTATATGTTCATTACTCTTAGTCTGTATGTGAGTTCACATTTGCGTTTGTAATGTTTATTCTTGTATCGTGTGTTGCACGTAAACGACGTAAATTTTTTGTGCAGATGTGTACAATCAAGCACAAAATGTGACAGAATTTTAAATATGGTACTGGAAAGAGAATTCTAATACCAAAACGAAAATTTGGATTGAACAAAAGTATTCGAAGACAAGAACGAAATAATGTTCAAACTCTAAAATCTAAAATTCACTATGTTCTTCGGAAATTATTAGATAATAAATATCTAATTTTTTACAAATTTTTCGTTTTTTCAGGCAAGCTGATGATATGCTAACAATAATTGATCTAAGAGTCGATCAAGTTCTAGTTAAAAACGGTGAAGCCCGTGCTGTTGCATTCGGCATCACGAAAGCCTTTGACAAGTTTTGGCATTCAGCATTTCTCCACGACCTGAAAATTTACGGTATCACCGGGCACATATTGAGTTTATCCATTCGTTTCTTTGAAATTGTGAAATTTCCTGTATATAGATGCAGATAAGACGTCCTAAACGACCTATCATCTAAAACTTTCCTATTAATGCGTGTTTCCTCCAGGGTGCCATCCACAGCTGTACACAGTTATTCATCTTCATTAACGACTTTCTCGATAACATCAGCTCTCAAATCTGCATCTGTGCTGACATCACTATGATTTACTCCTGCATCGATAGTAAGGTTGTTCAGTTAGACAAGACCAAAATTAATGCTGGTGTCCAAAATGACTTCAAGACTGTCGTAAACTAAGCCAAATTATTGCTTGCCAATTGCAACGCATCGGAAACTAAATATCTCTCTATTAATCACCTGACATACCCCTCTTTTCCTTCCATCAGTATGGGTATCCTCCAGGACTCGTTGCGACTTCTCGGGCTAATCATCTCGGATGAAAGGAAGTGTAAACACTATACTGAATCCATTGCTAGGATATTTGCTAAGAAATTCGGTCTACTGTGCGACAAACTTTCACTCCAGAATCTATATTTTATATCTATAAATCTGTGTTGACAGTTTCTTTTTCTCCATCTCTTGTGTGTGGAACTCTCTACCAGCGCCATGTTTCACAGCCATCTTTAATCTGCAAAAGATTAAAAGAAATGTCAATCGCTATCTACTATCCTCCTGATTGCACTTTTCACACATTACTAATGTTTCTGTTCATAGTACCTCCACACGCTGTAACTATTATTGGGGTGATGCAAGTTACATACATACATACATACATACATACATATATATATATATATATATATATATATATATGTGTGTGTGTGTGTGTGTGTGTGTGTGTGTGTGTGTGTGTGTTGTGTGTGACATGGATTAAATCCCAAAATTATTTCATGTATTTTCTGTTCATTAGATAGTGTAATAAATATAAATTATTTAAGCAAACAATCATTTGATCTGATGTGTTCTTAATCAGTGACTGATTAGCAAAGTCCGAACTACTGTTTATAAACAATAAATATTTGTCGATTTGTACCAAAAAAAGTCATATTTTCTTTCTTTATTTATTCAGACTGGTAAATGCAATTAATAGTGTTTATATTATATATATATATATATATATATATATATATATATATATATACTCACATTATTAGTATTTAGATCCATTCTTACTTGGCAATAGCTTCTAGTTCCTCAAAGGACATCGTTCTCTGATTATTTTCGTCAAATATACTCATAAACCTTCATTCTAGTTTAGGTCATGACCTTCTACGGGGTACGGCAATACCTTAATTTTATTGTCATGTAAGTGTTTTGCAGTTATTCTTGCCGTGCTTTTCGGGTCATTGTCATATTGGAATGTACGGTGTTGCACCAAATATAGCTTTCGTGCACATTATTTTATATTCTTTTAAGAATAGCAAAAATCTGATTTTAATCAATGATACTAAATATTCACACTCATTCTCCCCAGAGCATAATTATCCGACCGCCGTGCTTAATTGTAGGGATAATATATTTCGGTTTGTGAGCTTCAATCAATTTCCTCCACACATAAAGGGAGATCATGTGACCAAATAATATCAGTTTGGTTTCATCTAACCATAAAAATGCGTTCCAAATTTACTCCCATCTTCTACATCGGGTCTAGCATAAACTAATTTGCATTTGTGTGTTTAGACTTAAGAAAGCGTGTTTTCCATGGTGGACATACTGGAATTCCTGCTTGTTTAAAGAATCTAGTGATTGGCTCTGTCAATATATTCAACCCTGATGTTTTTACATTAAGTCAGGAATATTTGAGACCTTTCTAAAATTTCCTTTCTATTCTCTCGGACATTATAAGTTTCCTGCCAGTCCTTGACATATTCTCAACAGAATGGTTTCGTATGGATTGATAACGCTACAAATTCTCGATATATAAACAATAAACTCCTTGAAAACGTTGTCTATTGTTCACCATTTTTGCATGCACCAATTATGTTCCTTCGGAGTTGAGCTGTTTTTGCCATGTTGGCATTTTTTTTCGCGGTATGTGGCATTCCCATAGTGTCTCGTTTATTAACATTTAGAATGTTACAGAATCACGTCAATGATATTTTATTTTCAAATGGTGTTTGTACTAAATTTCTGATTAAGAAAATTAGTTAGAAATGTCATAGGTCATATTTTATAATTTGATAAGGGTGAGGAAGGGAATAAGGGAGTGCATCAACGTTTAGAGAAATCTATAAATATGAAAATATTTTTTCGAATCTTTTAAATATTTCACGAATTATTCAATATTAAATACGGAATCAGCTATTTATGAAAATAGTGTAAGTACTTGCAATATTGCCATTTTCTTAAAAAATTGTCAAATACTACGTGGTAGAGAATAATTCTGCCAATCACTGCACATAATACATATAAAATTGGTTATATATAAAATATTTAATATATATATATATATATATATATATATATATATATATATATATATATATATATATATGAATGTATATATGAAAACAACGTATAAACGGAGGATATTTTCAATAATATTTAGATTTAATTTATTTCATATGTTGTCAATGTTTACGTTAAGTTACGTTTCGTGAGAAGTTATTAACGACCAAACATGGATAAAAGTGCCTACTTGGTGCACAAACGCACACAAACAAAAAAACCTATGTTACCATAAGAAACACGTTTAGATAAACTAGATTTATTATAAAAATACGTACAGGATTTATAAACACGAATGCTGATTGACAAGTCTGATTAGTAAATTAATGATAAGTATGACAAATATTAAAATAACAGAAATAATTTCAATTACTGTTTAAGTTTAAATGAAAGTGTAAAATTTTCAATTCATACACGTGTCGTGTCCACTAAAATATCAACTACAATATTTATAAACCAATCACACTCAATAAAACACTTACATCTTAAAACACACCAATAAAATCATAGACATATGAAAACTCTGTTAGGTACTGTCATGGCAGAAAATATTCTACGGAGATTGTGGTTGGACAAATTACCCAGCACAATGACGCAAATTTTAGCACTCATGGCAGAGGAAACTGATTTGGAAAAACTTGCGGATTCTGCTGACCGAATCCATGTTGGTTTTAGAGACAGGAAGGTTAACACATTGACACCACAATGTACAAACCAACAACAAAACGAACAAATTGAGAAACTGCCAGCAACGGTTGCAAGTTTAGCCAGTCTATCTTGAACCTGCATCAACAACAACGAACTTCTCGTAATACTACCAGACCTAAGTACAGACGAAGGAGTAACAGCAGGAGTTTCAGCAATGATAGAGGACGACGAAAATTCGACATCTGCTACTATCATTATAAATTTGGTGCAGAGGCAAGACGCTGTTTGAAACCTTGTGCCTTTGTAGACCCGGCATCGGGAAACTTAAATTCCAGCCAGTAGAGACGACGACTGTTGCTGGACTCTCACAAAAAGGTCGTCTGTTCTATATCCTTGATAGAAATCACGCATATAATTTTTTAATAGACACCGGAGCCGAAGTGAGTGTTTTACCGCCGGATCCAAAGCAAAATTTAAAACCAGGACTCTACAAGCTTCA